ACCTAAACCACTGAGCTATCCAGCCAGCCGTGTTTCTCAAGAATGCTCCCCTTACTATAGGCAAAGAGGTAACTGGAATTGCACTAACTGGAAATTTATTCCAGACACAAGGTGATATTTCTTCTCTCTCTTTCTCTCTCTCTGACCACCCAGTTTGGTATGAATGCACTCCTCTTATCAGCTTGGTTTGGCCACCTGCGTATTCTTCAGATCCTTGTCAATGCCGGTGCCAAAATCCACTGTGTAAACAAGGTGAGGCCAATTTATACAGACTTTTCAGCTTTACGGGTTCAATGGCAGCCAAGGCATGACGGGGACAGCTGAACATCATAAACTCTATTAACAGTCCTGTTTGTCTTTGTGTATATGTAGCTTTTTTATGTAAGCTGGGCTGATACGAGGCTCCTTTTTGTGAGGGCTTGATTTTTAGTCCTCCTTTAGCTTCAACAAAAACAGGAGGCTTCTTTAGTTTTGAAACAGGGGAAAGGTTTATTGGAGTGTTTAACAAGAAGCCAGTGTCTATAAAGTCATTCCATAACTTCTCACCTGTTGCCAATGGGTCAGACAGGGGTAGCCGAGCATCATTCAAAAAGGGGTTGGTTTTGGTAGTGTTCCATGGCCCCGGCCAGTCTGCCATCGCATCACCTTTTAGAACCTCCTGGACCTCTCCTTCCAATAAGGGATCGTCCTCGTCCTGTGTGTGGTCGTTCCGCCGGCATCTCTGGCTGGGGTGAATGTTGACCAGGGTCCTCCCAGTACTCTCTCCTCCTTATCTCGTCCACCCTCCATGCCAAACTTTCTCTCCTCTCTCTCTCTCTACCTTCTCTTTCTCTTCTCTCAACCTCCTGTGCCACTCTCAAGCCTTGGCTTCACTCCAAATAGGAGGGACTGGGGGTATTTCTCTCCTCTGGTGGTAAAGGTTCCCCTTGACATTTTTAGTCCAGTCGTGTCCAACTCTAAGGGGCGGTGCTCATCCCGTTTTTCAAGCCGTAGAGCCAGCACTTGTCTGAAGACAGTTTCTGTTGTCACGTGGCCATTGTGACTAGGGAGCGCCACCACGTCCCTCTCCTCTGGTGGTAGTCGTCCTCTTCTGGGTCTTGCATCCAGACCCACTCCCAACCTGGAGGCAACTGGCTGCCTCTTCCCTTTATCTCCACTGTCCCCCGCCTCTATCTCCACCCTCTTTCTTCTTTCCTTTCCTGCCAATTCCATCGGGATGGGTCCCTCAACCGTTAACCCGTGCAACTCTGTCTCCAAGTCCCAGGTGTCAGTACCCTGTTGTTCTCTTTTCCGGAGAGCTGGGGTGGGTGAAGTCTGAATCTCCCTTTCCACTGTCTGGTGGAGGGATGGCACTCCAACGAGAGATCCTTTGCTCTCACCCCCAGTCTCACACTTTTGTGTTAGAATTATTTGTTACTAATATTTGCAGAGTGTGGTAGCCTAGTGCTGAGTTTATGACTAATAAACACTCATAACCTCCGTGGGGGGAAAATACACTATCTAAAGAAACCTGTTTAGTGATAGAGTAAGAGGTGAAGATCCCTAAACTTCTTTACTGAAGTCCTAGTGCCCACATAGGAGGGTTTGATGCTTTCTTGATACCCAGATTCCTGTAGCAACATGTATGCCAACTTGTTCGTACTTGCTGAGTCTGCTGGCAACTATCATAGAGAAGCAATTTGCTCCCATCTCTTTCCAGTTAGGAGAAAGAAGAAAATTGGAGGTGACCTCAAAGGCAGAACGAAGAATCTGACTAGCCATCTGTAAATAGATATAAAGGAGATAGAATGGGGGAAATGCCATCTCTTTGCCGATTTTCTCTCTCTCTCTCTCTCTCTCTCTCTCTCTCTCTCTCTCTCTCTCTCTCGTTTATTTGGTACATGTGTTGCTTCTTCATTTGCAACGCTCTGAAATCTTTCTAAAACAATTTGAAATATTGTCTTGATTTGATGTGGTAAAAAGAACAGAAGAAGCAGACTTGAAACATAAGAGGTACAGAGAGAAGACAACCTGCCTGCCCTCTCCTCTCCAATAAATGTTCATCCATGCTCAGGCCAAAGGCCTGACGGGTCCCAAACTGGAAAGCTGAAAAAGCAAAGAAGCCACTCCCCATTGGCTTGGCATGGGCAAAAGCACCTGGGAGACGCCACTGAAGAAGGAAGAAGTGGCCATCCATGTAGCCACAGGAATCTGGGCATTGAGAGAGAGCATCAGACCCTCCTATGTGGGCAGGCAGTGTTTATTCATGGGGTGAGCCTTTAATCCTTAGCAGGAGACCATAGACAGCTGAGAAGACACACCTCCGTATATGCCTTCATAATGAGTAACACAAGAGATACAAGATACATAAAATGAGGGTTATAAAAGATAAGGATGCAACAAAAGGACTTCCTTCTTGAGGGGATTGTCTGCACTCAGATTGATGTGATGATTGAGAAAGACGGGGGAAAGTTCACAGTCGTGAAGGCGGAAGAGCACAGCGGAATTTGCTGGAAAGGATGATCAATACCTTGCCTGCCACCTGCATTTCTATAATCCCCGTCTTGGACTTTGCCAATGTTTTTCCCCCTTCATTCATTTGCCCTTTTTAACAGGAATTATAATGTTGTTATCCGCTGCCATCTAATTAATTAAGTTTAAAAGCTCTTGAGCTCAGTTGAATGAGAAAACCAGATCAACAGGGAAAAGGGTTTTAAAAGAAGGGAAATAAAATACAATTGGAAATTGCCCAGACTCATTATCTTGATGACTTTTCAGAAAAATTAATGTTCTTCATTCCCACACTTTTCCTCTTCTAATGGGTATCAAAGCCTATTATTCAGTTTGTTCTCTTATGGGACGTCAAGTCAGAACCAACTTATAGAAACCCTAATAGAGGTTTCATCTCTTATGGGACGTCAAGTCAGAACCAACGTATAGAAACCCTAATAGAGGTTTCGTGTTGGATGTTTTATGAATGGCTTTACCAGTTCTGCTCCCTCAATGAGTTTCCATGGTTGAGCAGGGATTTGAACCCAGGCCTCCTGAGTCCAAGTCCATCACTCTATCTGCCACACCACACCAAGTATCATTATTCAGTTGAGTCCAAGTCCATCACTCTGTCTGCTACACCACACCAAGTATCATTATTCAGCGAGGCTGCCATTTAACAACAGCAAAAGCTGACAATCCTTTTTAAGTAAACCAGAACGGGCAGATGGAGGATCACAAGTTACTGGTATATGTCTGTGTGATTTGTAATACATCTGACAAAATCTCTTGACTCCCAGTTGTTGGACTATGTGTTTTTTCCATCACTCTGTCTGCTACACCACACCAAGTATCATTATTCAGCGAGGCTGCCATTTAACAACAGCAAAAGCTGACAATCCTTTTTAAGTAAACCAGAACGGGCAGATGGAGGATCACAAGTTACTGGTATATGTCTGTGTGATTTGTAATACATCTGACAAAATCTCTTGACTCCCAGTTGTTGGACTATGTGTTTTTTTGTTGTTGTTGCTATAGTCACTATAGCAAGAAAAAAATGGCACACGCATGCACATACCCAATAGGTTTGTACGCTCCATTCATTTTTGGACCTGGCAGTAAGAACAAGTTCCTGGGCTCAGAATTTTAAATTCTAAGTAGATAGAAGACCAAAGGTGAGACGAGAGACAAGAGTCAAGTTTAGTTGGATAGCCCTAGACATTCCAAAAGAAATGCAAATAATATAAAATAATGAAATACTTTGCTTAACTAAAGGTCATCTAAAATCAACATTCTAACAAGCACAATTCAGTCAAGTTTAAAGAACACTTGATTGTCCTCACTATAAAAATTTCCTTCTTAAAACTGTTGCTCTAAGCAGAAATATATGCTACACTATCTCCCAGTAAAATCATTATCAGAGATGCATCAGATCTACTGAGTGCAAGACCTAACTCTTTGAACAGAAGTTACTCTTAAGTCCTTATAAATTGGGCAAACAAGTAAGTAATGAATTATGTCTTCACCGGCTTAAGTTTGTCATGGACAAACTTCCCACAACCACTGCAGAACTCGTAGACTGGCGTTGTAGAGCATTCCTCCATTCAAATGTTGCTATATCGATTAAATACTCTGGATAAGGAATTTGGATCGGTAATTTAGCGTATAAGACCAAAGGTGAATTGTGTTCTTTCATGAGAACGAAACAACGCTAAATGCTGCAGACGGGACGTACCTTTATTAAGACCAGCTAAAAGGCTGGGGGAAATGAGCAACCTTTCAAGATCTGAAAAACAGCTATGAAGAATTTGGAAGGTTTGCTCCTCTTGTGGGATTTTAATTGGCCCTAATAGAGTGCCTGTCTTTGATCCAGGACATTGGTTTTCTGAATCTTGACGTAGAGGCAGAGGGTTTTATTTCCCATAAACCTGAAACCTTCCCACCCATCACAGTTCTTCCACAAATCATTGTGTTGTCTGGTGAGGAGAAAGTAGGAAGCAGGAGCTTATTTTGACTCGGGGGGAAAAACAAACCAGCAACCCACAGTTATTCGGCTTTCTCCTCAGAACTTGAACCCCGTTCCTCTCCTTTTACAGAATGGCCGCAACCTGCTTCATTGTGCAGCCCAAAGAGGTCACCTCAAGGTCATTGAGTTCATCTTGGAAGATCTGGAAGATGTGCGGCTGGATAAGAAAGATAAGGTGGGCAAACGTGAGACCAAACTGAGGCAAGAAGTGTACTAAGGAGATGAGTAATGGCTGAGAGAATTCCCTTAAAAGACAACACATATAGTTTCCCCCTGTAATGCACAATAGTGGTGCAGTGCTGAATGTAGACACTCTTATATCACAGAGAGCAACACTAAGGCCCAACCAGCCAGGCATATGCTGTTGCCGAGTTTTGAATTTCTGGTGAAATTCGTTTTGTGCTACACAGCGGAGTATAGAGACTCCCAGAGCAGAATAGCTACACGTTCCCCGGGGAGCCCACCCCTTTCTCATTAACTGGCACTCAGAGTCATGACAATCCACTTTGAGACATTTATAGAAGAAATAACAAAAAGATTTCGTTACTTAGAAATGTGATCAGATTAACAACAAACTAACAGACTGTGGACTTCAACAAACTAAAGAGGGGGGGAAAGAAACGCTCAGCAGAGGGGGGGGAAGGGATCTGTTTGATTTCAAAACTGGGAGGGAACAATTGATTAGTGCTAGACAGACTGACGGTCATCCCAGCCCAGAAGAAGTCCTTCCGGATCACTCAAACCACAGGCACCATGCGAGGGTATAAAAACTCCAAATTATGCTGTACTCCACTTGAAAGCCTGCCCAAGGAGATCCCTGATATCTCCTCCAGGCTGATTTCCCTTCCCCCTGGTCTGAATAGGCTCATTAGAAGGACAAAGGACTGGGGGTGAGGGATAATCCCACTTCTGCAGTCCTTCTCCACCCACTGTCATGGGTTGTTAATGGTTGTTAACAGTGGTCTTTTCTAGTTTGTGTAGTCCTAATCTTTCTGGGGACGGATGAAAGGGCCATTGCCCCTCCTCGGGACCACAATCAGCAGTGTTCCTTCATTTGAAGAACAAAGGATAATCATTTGCTGACCATAAGGTACTCATTTTGGACCGAGAAGATCAGTGGTTTGAGAGAGGGGTCAGGGAGGCATACAGAAAATCCCTCACTCAAAAGGGATGGAGGCCTTAGATATCATCTCCTATTTATCATGGTGCCCTTTCACCCATCCCCAGAAAGATTAGGACCACACACACCGGAAAGACCAGAATCTGGGAGATGTCGCTCTGAAAGAGAACTTGTTGAAGTTTGATCTTCATCTACATTACACATTATTCTTCACCAGATGAATGTGAATTTCTCACCTACTCTGGTTGGATCTCAGCGAAGCCAGGAGTACGTCGGTGCGCAACTGTCTTCCATCCAACTCTGTCAAAATGAAATAATGTTGATGTTTTGTCTGACAGCTGCCACCTTGTTGGCACAAAACTAAAGGTTCAACATCATCAGTAATCGCAGTGCATTTTGCCCCCTCTTCCCTTCCCTCCCTCCAATATTGTGTCCTTGCAAAGATGAACCGAACTGCATTTCATTTAGCTGCAGAGAACGGTCAGCTAGGAGTGGTGGAGTTTCTGCTCGGCTCAGGTTGTACTCGCAACATCAGAGACAAGGTAAATGAAGGGCTAAGAATTTTATTTGCCTACTGATTGCATTTTACTCCTGTTTTTCCATTTAAAAGCAATTGAGGAAGCATTGACATTAAGCTTACAAAGAAGGCTATAAAAATATTCCATCTTTATGCTGGCAGCATGCGGTGGAATGCTGAGTTTTGGTTGTTAGCGATGTGTACAGTAACATTTTTCATATTTCTTTCATTTCCGTTTCTTAGGGAGGGCCTCTTTCATTTCCTTCATGCTCATAATTTTGTATGCTTTTGTTTTATATGGAAGGGTCAAACCTCTTTTGAGTTCTTTGTCTCCTATTTCCCCATTTGTGTTTTTTTGGCACTCCAAAAGACACATTTGAAAATACTTTTTTAAAAAAAGCACAGGCAAGGCAACAGAGAACCAATCCACTTGAAAAGCAGGCAACGGTGCACGAGAAAGAAAAATCATCATCAGATCTATGCCAAAAAAACTAATCTACCAACCAAGTTAAAATACAACCATTTAAAAAGAGAATATGACTTCATTACCATCCAGCCAATACAACAGAGAGTTGGGCAGCCCAGCAGATAAAAAGCAGCCAGAAAGCCAGCCAGCCACTTGATGCTTCAAACACAGACATTTATTAACCAAAGCAACCAACAACACAGGACCAAGAACAACAAGGGAGAAATGTCCATACAACCCAATGGCACACTAGAAAAGTCACATAATTCACCCCTCTGGCCCAGACAGCTCCAAGAAGCAAACAATAAACCTCCCAGGGGAAAAAAACAAAAATATACCCCTTTAACAGAGTAAGTATACAGTACAGTGTTGCCCCACTGGACAATTACCCCACTCCATGACGAATCCGCTTAATGATGTTTAGATGGGGGAATTTTGCTTAACGTTGATCGGTTCCTTGCTTTGGGAACCAATTTTTCTCTTAACAACGATCAGAAAACAGCTGATCGTCGGGTTTCAAAATGGCCACCGGCTGTACAAAATGGCTCCCCGCTGTGTTAGGGATGGATTCTTCAAAAGACAGGGAACAGAAAATGGCCACCCTATGGAGGATTTTCGCTGGATGGTGAGGCATTTTGCACATTGGAACGCATTGAACGGTTTTCAATGCATTCCTATAGGTTTTTTTTATTTTGCTTGACAACGATTTCACTCTACAGCGAATTCGCTGGAATGGATTAACGTCGTCAAGCGAGGCACCACTGTATATCAAATAAATAATAATTTTCAGAAATCAGTGAAAGAGTCAAAGGGGAAAGATAGCCAAGTAGAAAGACAGACACACTTACTCTCCTAAAAGCCATGAAATGTAAGAAAGGAAACAAAGGCAAAGAATACAATCGAAGCTCCCCAGCCAAAACTCCTAAAGTATGGGGAGATTTCTCTCAACACCATCACTTGATAGCTAGTTTTTCCTTCCCTTGAGGCCAGCAAGCAGCCCGGCTGGATTAAAAATAACCCAGTAAAGCAAAGAACCAAAAAGAAATGAACAAACCAAAAAGGGGGAGTCCCGAAAGAAATATAGGGAGGGGATCTAAACAATAATCCCAAGGAGGTAAGCGCAGGAAGGTTGCCTGACAGCAACACAAATAAGGTAAAGAAATGGAGTAGTACACCCAAGAATCAAGGGAAAAAGCTAAAAAGGGGGCGGGGAAAGGATCTAAGATGGAAGCAGGCAGGCAGCAATCCAATATAGAAGGCACCCAGAGCTCAAAACACAGCAATCCGACCCACCAAGAATGACTGGAGAGAAAAAATATTCTTCACTGGCTTCTAGGCCCCTCTACAGGTTTAAAATTCCCACTCCCCCAGCGATAGTCCTTCTGCTGACACTATTGTATGAAAAATCTCTTAGGCGATTTGACAAAGGGTGAAAGAAAGGTTACATGAAAGGAATATGAAGCACAAAATGTTTGCGTACCCCTTTTTGTAAACACAAGTCATTCATTTTTTTAAGAGTCTCTCTTTTGGCGATTGAGAAAAGAACACAAATTACATGAAAGAGCCTCTTTTGTGTTCTGAGTCTTTTGTTAAAAGACAAAAAACTCATCCTTAATATCTATTTAAACTGGAGTAACAATCCCAGAAGCTCATAATTACATAGAAGTATAATACAGATATACATGGTTTCAGGAGGGCCATTAAGGGATAGTGCAAGAGGAAAGAAACCTAAACTTGCCTACAGAGTCACTAATGTGGGTACCTATGCATGGGGTGTGATAGTAGACATCATGGAGAAGAGGACTCATTGTGCAACTAACCTCTCTCTAAGTAAGAATGAGAACTATACTGACTTAAGACAAGATCGAGGATGTTTTGTTTTGTTTCATTTTTCATGGCAATTGGAGATGAGAGTTCTTTCTGGCTAAGAAGGAAGCACCCTTGCTTAAGCAACAGATAGGCCAGGCTGGTCCTCCCCTTTGCCACATCACAAACAAAAACAAAAGAGGTGCTAATATTTGCAAAATTCCATTTGCTAATTTCTTTCTTAGATATCCACAATTGGAAACCATTTCCCCTCATTGTTTGTGATATATATTTGATTCTTCCTGTCCATACCCTTTGATTTATGTCAAGGATGTCATGCAACTGCCCTAATGATGGGGCTTCCACCTGCAGCAGCTCTCCCTTCCTTGTATTTATGCTGAATGTCGTGTTTGCAGGATGAGAATACAGCCCTCCATTTAGCTGCCAAGAATGGCCATGCTGGGGTGCTGCAGAAGCTTATAGAAATTGGAATGGACCTGGATGAGAAGAATGCAGTAAGTAGAAGACTTCTCAAGAGGTTCTGCATCTGACACAGTATTTTCTGCTACATTAAACCCAGTCCCTTCTCCCCCCCACTGAACAAGTATCAAAATAATCTAACTGCCAAAGCTATGGGAAGGGAGAGAGGATTGGAGAGCCAGCCCTGGTGCAGCATATGCAACCTGGTTGGTCCCTCTCTTGCCTTGATGGATTAAAAGCAGGCGACACAAAATTGGGTGGGATAGCTAATGCCTTGGAAGACAGGAACAACATTCGAAAAGATCTCGATAGGCTTGCGCACTGGCTGAAAGCAACAGAATGAAATTTAACGGGGATAAGTGCAAAGTTCTTCACCTGGGGAGGGGGGAAAGACAAATGCATAGGTTTCAAGATGGGATACTTGACTCATTAATATAAGTGAGAAAGATTTTGGAGTCATTGTAGAGCAAAAGCTGAAGGTGCGCCAACAGTGTGATGTGGCTGCAAAAGAGGCAAATTCTATTTTAGGCTGATTAACAGAAATAATAGTTTTCAAATCCCATGAGGTAATAGCCCTCTTCTATTCGGCAGTGGTGAGGCCTCACCTCAAATACTGTGTCCAGTTCTGAAGACCACACTTTAAGAAAGATGCCAACAAAAGCCTCACCTCAAATACTGTGTCCAGTTCTGGAGACCACGCCTTAAGAAAGATGCCAACAAAAGGGAACAATTTCAGAGCAGGGCGACAAGGATGATCAAGGGATTGGAATCCAAGCCGTAGGAGGAAAGACTGAAAGAACTGGACTTATTTAGCTTGGAGGAAAAAAAAGATTGAGGGCGGATATAATAGCATTTTTCAAATACTTGAAAGGTAGTGGTCAAATAGCATCTTTCAAATACTTGAAAGGTAGTGGTAGTTCTACAGAGGAGGGACAGGATTGGTCAACGTGCAGGACATGTAATCGTGGGCTCAAGCTACAGGAAGCCAAATTTAGGCTGAATGTCAGGGGGAAAATCTTAACTGTTAGAGCAGCATGACAGTGGAACCCATTACCTCAGGAGGTGCTGAGCGCTTGAACATTAGAGGCATTCAGGAGAAAATGGGGCAACCCTCTGTCAGATCTGCTTTGATTTGGCCCCTTGCCTTGAGCAGGGGGTTGGAACGGATGGCCGGCTGTATAGGCTCCTTCCAACTCCATTATTGTAGGGTTCTAAGCCAAACAAGTGTGTGCGTTTCCTTCCCTCTTGCCAGGAAGGGTTGACCGCCCTGCACTTGGCCGCTGAAGGGGGCCATCAAGAGTGTGTAAAGTTGCTCCTGGAATCTGGCTGTGATGTCAACGTGCAAACCCAAGTAAGTGAACTGCGTTAGGAAGGGATTTCCATCTTGGTTTCCCCCCGGCAGGCCAAATATCTCTGCAAATAAGAGATCCAATGAACGGGAAGCGTTGCTCTCATTAAAGCAGTTTGGAGCTACCTGGCTAATGTCTTCCAGTATTGCGAGGTATAATGGGGGCTGGGGGCCACAGTTGGCTTGCAGGGGGTTCTGAGTAGCCCCCAGAGTCTCCTCATCTCTGGGGGTGTATTGCCTGAAGATTTTTCTCCTCCTTAGAAAAAGATGACCTGCCTTCATTACGCTGCACTCAATGGCTACGAAGACATGACCAGAATCCTTATTGACGCTGGAATCCAGAGAGATGCGCAGAATTACGTAAGTGGCTCCTCGGTGTGCATCCCGGGGGAGCATCTTTGTGCCTTTGAAGAGAGGGAAAGGAAGAAACATTGATGCCCCGGATCAAGCTGGCCTTCCTTTATAGCAGCCATCCTCTCCCCCACACCCCAGGAAAAAAAAAACAGAGAAACCTACGACCAAAAGGTTGCATTTCTCCTGTTCAGAAGATGACTGGGGATCGTGTCCAACCCACCTCATTTTACATCTCATTTTACTGGACCTCCACAGTGCATGAACACTCCTTCATGTGAAACCAGAAACGATGGGAGAGTTCTCTTTTCCAAAAAGAAAAAAATGGCCCGAATACTATGAATTAGTTAAGTGGTTCCAAAACATTTTGGCCTCGCAGCTCCCTTGATTTCCTGACCACTGGCCACGGCCCCCCTTGCTTGGAGGGGGGCTATCAGGAGTCTCTCTCTCCCCCCAGGATCAGGATCTTGACTGCCCCCCAAAGCCATCCCATCTCCTGCCCCTGAATATCTCCGTCCAGGTCCTGATGCACAAAACTCAGAGGTCCACCCCACAAGCATTTCTATCAGGGACCATAGAGATTGGGAGAGGACAGGAAGGCATGGGGCTCCCGGGTTCAGTTTGACATAGAGCTATGAACGTTCTAGAGGAGCTGTATAGCGTTCTTCTCTATAGCCTTCATAGCACCCCATGAAGCCAGGGCACACAGTTTGGGAACCCCCCTGGGTTAGATATGCTAGCATTCAGTGTGACAGTGCAACTTTGCAATGGTGAATTAATTTGCCACAAAGTGCAGCTTATATCCGTCATACTACACCCATCGTGTGAGTTGATGGACCACGATGGATAAAAGTGGCAACTCACTGGCTTTTATTTGCTACTGCAATTTACACATTGCAGTTAAATCAGCATAACTAAATGGGATTCTGGAAATTTTGATTTTTTGGAACAAAACAAGGTGCAGGGGGCACTTTTTTATATTGGAGAATCTTGCCTCTTGGAGGTATGATCCTTCCTTGTAGGGCATTTGGGGGGGGGATCAAGAGGAGTATTCTGGATGGCTTCTGTGACTTCCAGAGAAATCTTTGGTCATTTGTATACAATTGCAGGACCCACCATTAACCGTCCCTGTCATGTCCAGCGTAAAAGCTAGAAAGGGGAGGAATGAGATGTGTGCCTGAAAATTTGAGAGCCTACGAAGCCATGGGAGGTGTCTTTCCACAGGTGCAGAGCATGTTGTAGTGGAGCCAGGTTCCAGAGGAAAACCCCACTGGACTTTCTGAGCAGCAGGGCCTGTGATATCACCCACTTCAGCCTTCCGTCTTCCCTCTGAGCTTAGCAGCAACTCTCACAGTAAATGAGGGACAAATAAATTCAACCCGTGGGAGGTAAAATATGTATTGCTACAAGCTGCCCCTGTTGTGATGCGAGGTACCTGACGGTTGTTTGCACTTGACTAGGCAATTAAGAGACATTAGCTTCACAAAAGGCCTGCCCTTCAAGTGTTGATATGGATTGATCCAGATGCCTATTATTTTTAGGGTACTCCTTATGGAGGGTCTGGCTAGCGGGGTACACGTAGCCACCTGCGGAGTTAAGACAAAGAGCGTCCACACAGGATGTTATACAGAAGCCAGACCTTTCCTTATGGTTCTGCCGAGTTAATATTAGGGTACTCCTTATGGAGGGTCTGGCTAGTGGGGTACACATAGCCACCCGTGGAGATAAGACAAAGAGCTTCCACACAGGATGTTATATAGAAGCCAGATCTTTCCTTATAGTTCAGAGTAGGTTGTTCTTTCTAACGTTTTGCCAGCCTTTGTGGCCGGCCTCTTCAGAAGACAGAAGTCAGAACTCTGTGCTCTGAGCACAGATGACTTCAAAGCTTCAGAGGACTCCAGTCCTCTGAAGAGGCTGGCCACAGAGACTGGCGAAATGTCAGGAAGAACAACCTTCAGAATACGGCCAAAGAGCCCGAAAAACCCACAATAACCATCAGATCCCGGCCGTGAAAGCCTTTGCAAATACAATATTAATATTGCTTCCTTCCACAGCAAAATGCTTCAGCTATGCATATTGCGGTGCTACAGAACCATCTAGCTGTCGTTAAACTCCTAATTGATGCTGAATGTGACCTGGACATCCCTGATAATGTAAGAATTTGGCACGTGATTGAAGACACAACTACATCCTTTGACAGATAGTTGTGAGAGATACAGCAGAGTTCTTCGTGTTGGTTTGTTTGTATGTAAAAACACCATATGGAAAAGCAACTGTGTATACAGTATATATAAAATATCATTGTACAAATGCAATAGCCTACTGTGTAAACAAGGCTTGTAAAAACACCATATGGAAAAGCAACTGTGTATACAGTATATATAAAATATCGCTGTACAAATGCAATAGCCTACCGTGTAAACAAGGCAGGAATGCCATATAATTAATGGCATTGCCATAAAGTTTAGGAGTGTCAGAAAGAGATCCTTTAGATTATTATAAAAATTAGAAGAGATTTCTCTAAAGAAGTGCCACAGGTTCTTTGGAAAAGAAAAGAAAAAAAGAAGCTGAATATAAACTGGTAATGTTAAAATATACTGGCAGCAAAACATGGCAATGGAGATAGCAGTATTTAAAAAGCTGTCTTACATGATGACAAAAATGATGATGATCATCATCATCATCAACATCCAAGGGAAGCTAGAGTTGAAAACAAAGAATTGGAAAAACTAACGTGGTACAGAGAGACCTGGCCATCGAAATATCTCACTTGAGGATGAAACACACTTCAGTGGCCTCCGTAGTCATTGGAGCTTTGAGAAGAACATCGAGAAATGTCACACAGTATTATAAGCGGTGGCAGATCTCAGAAATCACACCATCAGAGTTACCAAAAAAAGGCAATATTAGGAACAGCATCCATACTGTGCCGATATTTAACAGATGCTTAGGTTTTCGGATAAAACCTGTATCTGTTATATAATGCCAGTCAATGTTTTTTATAATTTTGATTGATTGTGCCTGGTGTTTTTGAACAATAATCTAGAACTGAAGAGCTGGAAGGGACCCTATGGATCATCAGCCCCTCCCCTAAAGACCCAGTGGGGAATCGAACTCCCAACCTCCACAGACTTAAACCACTGAGCTTTCTGAGCAGTTCATACAATAATCTTAGAATGAGTGAAAAAGAACTTTGGTGCACAGCATACTTAGGAAGCAGTTAAATTGAACTTACTTTTCAAAGGTGGGAAAAACTTTCTTTTATCTTGGAATAAACATGGCTCTTTTGGAATAATATTGTTTTATTTGTAAGGGCAGATTGTAATGTGGCATCTTATAGATATATGGATATGGATTACATTTAGGGTAGTTAACGAAGGTCAGTCTTCAACACTGCCCTGCAGACAAGTAGGCCTTGTGGAAAGTTTCCTTCCCTTCCTTTTTACCAGTTGTTGGGTGCAGTTAGGGTTCTACTTGGGGATGGGGGAAGGCTCTACCTTCTTAAAGTCTGCCTATCCGTGGTTGTTCTAGCTGTCAGCTTGCTTCTTGTTTCCATTTTCCTCAGAGGCAGCAGAGCCCTCTTCATATAGCTGCAGAATACGGGAGGCAGGACATTGCTGAGATGATCCTTATAGCTGGAGTCAACTTAAAACTGACAGACAAGGTGAGCAAAGTTGACTGCCCTGACAGTCAACTGATCGACTGATTTGGGAAGCTAAGCAGGGCCAGACCTGGTTAGTACCTGGATGGGAGACCATCCAGCAGGGATCTCCACGTGGCTTTAGAAGAAAATCTTGTCTGAAACCTTCCAAAGTCATTGCTGAGTCATTGCTGAGCAGAAGGGGCTAGAAGAATCAATAGTCAGACTCAGTATAAGGTAGCTTCTCATTTCCCTGTTCCAGTTTACAGTGGTGCCTCGCTTAACGATTACCTCGTTAAACGACGAAACCACTTGATGATGAAGTTTTTGTGATCACTTTTGCGATTGAAAAACGATGTTTAGATAGGGAAATTTCGCTTGACGATGATCGGTTCTCTGCTTCGGAAACCGATTTTTCACTAGACGACGATTTTTAAACAGCTGATCAGTGGCTAGAGACCTGTTTCCTGATACCTCTCCTCTGCATCTAGTATTTGGAAGTCCCTTCCTTCTTACCCTGGGGATTATATACATCCCCATCATGGCTTTTAACCTGCAATGGACTTTTCCTCCATAAATCTGTCCAAAAGAGAGAGCCAAAGGGCAGGAATTTCAAGGCAATTTCCCTGTAATAACCAGTCCCTCTCCTCCCACTGTTGCTCTTTAGTATGAGATCTGACTGTGAGAAGTTTTGGTATACCATTTCAAGAACCTCTTAGCAAGCCAAGTCTTTGGGTCTGAGACTTTGGTTCCAAGTCCCAAGTCCAAGTCCCTATTAAAAATATGTTTGTTTCCATAGGGGGAGAAAAAATGAATTGGGTAAGAGTGGTCGCAAGACCAGATGGGTGGGGTATAAAAATAAATAAATAAATAAATAAAAATAAGTGGGTGGGTTCCAAGTTGTAAATCAAGTCCAAGTCATTGAGAGGAAACAACAACCCTGAATCGACTCCAAGTTGAGTTGCCTGTGCAATTTACATCTGACTGGACAGAGAGCCCTGTGACACGAATCCCCACCCCTGCCTCTTTGGGCTAGAAAGAGAAGAAGGTTATCAAGGGAGCATGCACATGGGTTGGATCCTAAAGCATTCACGTGCGCTTGCAGATTGGCATGTCCCTCTGTTACTCACGAGTCACACTCTTCCCCAACCTAATGCCCTCCAAAGGTATCCAAGAACATCCAGCCATTCCTAGTCATTGGCCATGCCGGTTTCTTGAACCCTAGTGTGGGAGAAAGCCTTCTGCCCCACGTCTCGAGGCAGCAGACTAAAATAGGGGGCTTTTTTGAGACACAGGACCAACCCGAGGTATTTGGCTGCCTGAGGGCAAAACCAAGATGTCTTCTCCCAGAAGAAAACTACACTGGCCTTCAAAATTGACTAGAATAACTTGGGTTTGAACATGGGCCGCCATGCAGCATCTACAGGAGGGGCCAGCCTCATCTCAGGGCTAGGAATGGCAACAAGCTGTCCTTGAAGGGAGCAAAGGGGCAAGGCGATTTTTGAGGACTCTTGGGGGCTTTGTGATTCTTGTTCCACCTGGCCCCTGTGTAGGCAACGGGAGGTCTGGGAATGATTGAAGCAGCAAGGGGACCATTAACTGAAACTTGGTCCCTTGGAGGCTGAGCTTGGGGGAGAAATTGCGGAATTCAACCCCCTGATTCTCTCCCAATAGAGACGGTGTTGCCGCAAGCATCTAGTCTAGAATGCATGGAGAGAGAGAGACAGGAGAGAGAGAGGGAGAGGAGGAGGAGGAGGAGGAGGAGGAGGAGGGATTGCCACCCCTATATCTGGAGGGGGCAGCAGCACTCAGAATAGTTTTGGTACTTTATTATACAGTGGTGCCTCACTTAACGACGATAATCCATTCCAGGAAAATCGCCGTTACGCGAAAACATCGTAAAGCGAAATAAAAAACCCCATTGAAACGCACTGAAACCCGTTCAATGCGTTCCAGTGGGGTAAAAACTCACCGTCCAGCGAAGATCCTCCATATGACAGCCATTTTCGCTGCCTGTATCGCGAGGAATCCATCCCTAAACACAGCAGGGAGCCATTTTAATTACCCGGTAGCCATTTTGAAACCACCGATCAGCTGTTCTAAAAACATCATTTTGCAAAGAATCGATTCCCGAAGCAGGGAACAAAGCGAAATTCCCCCATTTAGACCATCGTTTTGTGATCACAATTGCGATCGCAAAAAGATCTTCATAAAGCGGATTCGTCGTAATGCGAGGCAATCATAAAGCGAGGCACCACTGTAATTAGTTACAAATCATGTAGTTTCCTGGGTTTGTGCCCTTGTTGATGTAAATGTTGTATGATCAAGGAACCTAATCAGTCAATCAAAAGAAGAGAGTCTGGGTAACGGATGGGTGCATAGCCGTACATGGATGAAGGTGGGACAATCAAACAGCAGTGGAAAAAGTTGCTGTTTTGGATTACAACTCAAGAGGCTGACATCCAGTAGGAAACCACAGCAAGAGCAGGCCTGCTAAATCAGTGGGGACCTGGTATGTCAGCTCCTCCATAAGTTCCAGTGATTCAAGGAGCCTCCTCTTGTTGTGACTTACTGCTGGATTTCAGTCACAGAATCCCTGACACAAAATGACCAGCAAAATAAATAAATAAAAATAAAATAAGAAAAAGGTTCTTTCCCATTTCTTCAACGGACTAGAGAGAATATTGCAGTAATTTAAGTGAAAATGGACCTTTGCCAAGAGAGGTGCTACCAAGGGAAGATCAAGTTTGACTTTTCATTCATCGGCTGATGAGCATATACATGTAAATGAGTCCTAAATTATATGGAATTTTACTATGTCAGAAGGCTTTTCTTCCTCTTAAAGCAGTAAATTTTTAGCTTCTGTGCATGTATAAAGCCTCCCTAATCCTCCTTTTGGTGTGAAATACATTTTCTCATCTTCTTCCCTCAAGCAGTTTAATGCAGGCTGATTCCAACAAGACTTTTTCTCATAATGCCACCTTAAAATAAATGATATTTTGAATTGCCAGACAAGATTACAAAGCTACGGAGGCATAGTAATACATCAATTGTCAATGGTAAATAGGGTGTGCAAATGCAAAACAAGGAAGAATTTGAATAATGGCTGCACATTAACTTAAGAAAACAATTAATGGGTTTTTCTTTTAAATGCAAAACAAGGAAGAATTTGAATAATTGCTGCACATTAACTTAAGAAAACAATAAATGGGTTTTTCTTTTAACCTTTGCTTGTACAATTATTGTAATGCCTCCCTTCCCTGGCTTTTTCTTTTGACTGCAGCAAGGAAAAACATCCCTTGATATCGCTGCCCGTGGGAATCACATCAACCTGGCTGATATGATTATCAAAGCTGATCGGTTTTACAAATGGGAAAAGGTAAACAGGCATCTTATCTCCTCTCTGAAGTGACTGGAAAAATTACAGATATGATCAAAAAAGGAAGAAATCCCTTCATTTAAAGCAAAAAGTTATGATTAGTGTTTTAACTCCCAAACTAAGGAAATTCAAACCACAGACCAGCCCCTACATTCTCCTTGTATCTTAATGATCCTTTTTTTTATGGTGCCTTAAGTTCCACCCCAGATAGACACAGCAGTCCCTAAAGATACAATAAGTAAATTGCTACTTTGCTTACTTAGAACTAGCCTGTTAAATACAATGAGACTTACTTCACTCAATTAACGGTCAGCTGGTACTAGATTAATAAAGATTAGGTAAATATAGACAGGACTGCGCTGCTCATTTGTTGTCTATAGATGTTGACTCTATCAAAGCCTATGGTTCATTTCATTACTAGTAAACTATGATATCAGGAGTGGCATTCCTGGTGGGATTACACTGTAGTGTTTACTTGAGATAGAAGCTAAGCTTTACGAAGCTTCATGCTTTGAATGAGAAAAGCGGTTGATCTGTGGTCAACATTTCCTTATTTTAAAGAAATAGCTTCAGCAATAATATTTTCCTTTAAAACTTTTCCCTTTTGGGGGTATTTCCCTGCTTTTTAAAACATAAGCACAGACATATTTTTGTAAGCAAAAAAAAAAAAAATCCAGCAGAAAGAAAGCACCTCAGATTCACCAGCTTCTCTCAGGCATCTGGATCTCTAAGAAAACAAAGGAAATACTTTTCAGGATCAGATGAAGTCCACCAAAAGCTAATCCTGCTGAAGGGGAGTGAGGAGTTGTTGTTGTTGTTTAGTTATTAAGTTGTGTCTGAATCTTTGTGACCCCATGAACCAGAACACGCCAGGCCCTCATGTCTTCCACTGCCTCCCGGAGTTGGGTCAAATTCATGTTGGTCGCTTCATTGACCCTGTCCAACCATCTCGTCCTCTGCCGTCCCCTTCTCCTCCTCTTGCCTTCACACTTTCCCAATATAAGGGTCTTTTCCAGGGACCCTTCTCTTCTCATGAGGTGGCCAGATTATTGGAGCCTCAGCTTCAGGATCTGTCCTTTCAGTGAGCACTCAGGGTTGATTTCTTTCAAAATGGATTGGTTTGATCTCCTTGCAGTCCAGGGATCTCTCAAGAATCTCCTCCACCACCACAATTCAAAAGCATCAATTCTTCGGTGGTCAGCTTTCTTTATGGTCCAGCTTTCACTTCCATACATAGCTACTGGAAAAACCATAGCTTTGACTATGCAGACCTTTGTTGGCAAGGTGATGTCTAGAGAACCATAATCTTGTTGTTCATACTTGACATTGTATATTTTCTGCCCAGGGACAAGTAGAGAGCCCAAGCTTTCAAAGGTTGGCAGGTCTGTTGCAGCTTCTAGTAATTGCTATAATAGAAAGGGAAGGGAAACAGATTCCTTTATTTATCTGAGGAAGATAAGTTTTTATCAGCTGTAACTATAGTGTCTGAAGCCCATGTAGAGTAAAAAAAAAGGATATGTGTTTGTACATAAAAGTCATAAAACATAGGTCCCCTCCATCTTGGTATGCATACTTATAAAAAAAAATATCGATTTATTTAAATGTGCATGTTTGAAGCCTGCAGTATCATCATCAGTCACTAGATGGCAGCGCATATTTTTCCAGACAGTTTTGAATAGAGATTGGCACGAATTAAAAAACGTGGTGGCGCTCTGGGCTAAACCGCAGAAGCCTGTCGCTTGTCCCAGCTCCCGCCAACCTAGCGGTTCGAAAGCATGCAAATGCGAGTAGATAAATAGGTACCATCTCGGTGGGAAGGTAAACAGCGTTCCGTGTCTAAATCACACTGGCCATGTGACCACGGAAAGATTGTCTTCGGACAAACGCTGGCTCTATGGCTTGAAGAGCGGGATGAGCGCCGCCCCCTAGGGTCGGACACGACTGGACAAAAATTGTCAAGGGGAACCTTTACCTTTTTACCTTAAAAAACAAATTGCAAAATTTGACAAAAACTGCAGATTCATCAATTTGCATTTGTCAGATGCCCAATAAATGCAAATTGATGAATTTTTAGATTTTCAATTCATCCATTTGTCAGGCTAGAGGTCACCCGTCCGGCACCTAGAGATACCAAAATTGCAGAGGAGCTTCTCTCAACTCTTCTCCTCAACCCTTCCAAGATTGACGAAGACTGGGTTTCGGTTGTCTGGGTTATATACCCACAAATTGGGTCCCCCACAGGAAAAGTGCCACCTTGCCCTGGGGTCCCAATGGCTACAGCTTCACTTAGATGGGGCAGACTCTGGGTTTCCATCTGCATGACTTTGCTTGATGGCTGGATGTAGATTGCCAGCCTTGAACTAAAACATGCTTGTTTGTATGTGTGTTTTTTGCAGTGGTATACGTATTAGCTGTGGGTGTGTTGTTTTTGGGGTAATTTTTGCAACTATATAATATTAACTATATATAGTCTATGTTGGCTTGGGCATATCATGAGAATGGCTAACAATTGGATTCCAAAAGATCTCCTGTATGGAGAATTCGTGCAGGGAAATCGCCCCAGAGGGAGACCACAGCTGCGATACAAAGTCATCTGCAAGCAGGATCTGAAGGCCTTAGGAATGGACCTCAACAGATGGGAAACCTTGACCTCTAAGAGTTCAGCCTGGAGGCAGGCGGTGCATCACAGCTTCTCCCGATTTGAAGAGACCCTTGTCCAGCAGGCCAAGGCAAAGAGGCAGTCCTGAAGCCAGCAAAATCAGGGAGCTGGACAGGGGAGAGCTTGTATTTGTCTTCAGTGTGGAAGGGATGGTCACTCTTGAATTGGCCTCTTCAGCCACACTAGACAGTGTTCCAAGTCTTCCATACAGAGCACGATACCATAGTCTCTCGAGACTGAAGGATGCCTACATGCACACATATTAGCTGTCCTCATTTTAAAAAGCGTGCACAGATTTGTCTGCAATAATTATTGTATGCACATTCCTCATATCTCACCAATGGGAAAATTCTCAGGGTGAGATGCGTTTCTTCCCACAGAAAGTCTCAGGAGGTGCAAAAACCAGAATTTTTTTGCTAAGCTTCCTACCCCCAATGAAATTCTTTTCCACCCTTAGCTGCAGGGTGTCGTCTCATGAAAAGACCTGCTACAGGAAGCTTGAATCTTGCTCCAGAGCAGAAGAGTGAGGTTCAGACAGTGAAAGTGTTCATTGAAATAAAAATAGAAAAACTCTCAGATTAGCGATGAAACTGTTTTTGGTGTTGTTGTTGTTTTATGCAGGACAATCTAAACAGTGACTCCGACTCCTGGGTAACCAAGCACTTAACTTTTAAGCAGGACCACCGTCTAGAGACACAGCACATTCGCTCAGTCCTGTGGCGGCTTGCTACGAAATACCTCAAACCCAGTGAGTGGAAGAAGCTAGCACACTTCTGGAAATTCACTGACGCACACATAAGAGCAATTGAACACCAGTGGGCAGGTAAGATCTGCAGACTGAGCACCTTTTCGTTTATTTCTTGCTGCTCAATCAGTGTTCATGCCAATACACCCAGGCTGTGGACCAGAGGTTCTCAAACTACTCTACCTACAGTAGTTCATTTAGGTGGTCTGTGTCAGGAGTGGGCAGCTTCCAGCCTGTGAATCCCAAAATACAGTTTTAAAAATAAGTCAAATTGTCTTGTGCTCTCTAGTGGATAATTAAATAATAAGAATGAGGTGCCATCAAGTCATGTAAAATCCCTTTTTTGGGTTGTTGAGAAGGTCCAAAATTGTGAAACGGAACTTTCTGGACCCAGCGTTTTTAGTGGAAAATTATTTTTTTAGAATGGAGGAGGGAATAGAAGTGATAGGGGGTTCCATGGATGCTGGGGGCCATGTGGAGGTTCCTGGGGGTGCATGGAGCAGGAAGCACACTCTACCAACCTACCCACCCCCATTAGGCTGTGGAATTAATGGACTATACAGAGCTGGCACTCACACAACTTCTCCTGCGTGATGATCATGTTTTTCTCCCAGCTACACAGGAAACTGCTTTATAGTAAATCAAACAATTGGCCTGTCTAGTTCACTGCCATCTGATGATGACTAACAGCACCTCTCCAGATACAGAGAATAGTTTTGTCTAGCAATAGTGGAGATTGAATTTAGCAAGTTTCCTTTGTGGAAAACACCACGACTCAGCATAGCCATCTTCATCAGAATACTGGGATCAATTTTGGTTTACTGACCAGGTAGGAGCTGTGACAAACCCAGACCTACTGGGATCTGCCACACGTTTACTAAGCTGCCACCAACCATTCCCTATAAGAAGTCACACAGACCAGGGATGGATTTTTAAACAAATAAAAGAACAAGGTTTATTTAAATACAACACACAGGGAAAATAAAATAATCAGGTGAATAAGATAAAGTAACGTGGCTTAGTTTCACTCATACATACACACAGTTTGGTTCACACAGAACCCTTAACTTGAAGCACAGACCCTGAACCTATCAGTTCTGGCTAACCAACAGACACCTGAACCTATCAGGTTGGTACTGACACACAGTAGTACCCTGTCTGACACACAGACTCCCACACCAGCTTCTTCTTCCCAGCTGCTGCTTCGTCACATCCCAGCGTCTCCCAACTTCTCCACACACGCATCACATATATATACAGTACAGCCCCTCCTCCTGATGTCCCGCCTTCCACTCCCCATAGGATGGAACTTTCCCTCCAAACCCATGACAGACAGGTAACATCAGTGCTGTATGTAACAGGAGCCAGTTGAAGTCCAGTTACAGCCAATTAAAAATGTTACCTGGTGAGTGTGTAAGTAGATGTTATTGTCAGCTGTAGTCCTGCTTGGCTGATGTAAAGAGTCCACATCGTTCTCAATGGTGCTTGGGGTTGGCTTTCTATGGTGCTTAACGTGGCTTATTCGTCATTCCAGGTAACAAAAGCTACAGGGAGCATGGGCACCGGATGTTGCTAATTTGGCTTCATGGCGTGATCATGGCAGGGGAAAACCCAATCAAAGGCTTGTATGAAGGCTTGGTGGGCATTGGGCGCAGAGACCTGGCAGGTAAGACCTTCCCTTTGGGTAAAATTTGTAAAATTCTCTGGCCCTGTACTGGCTTAATTCTGTTCCGTGGCGTCAGTCCAAAGGAAGTTTATCATGCTGATAAATTCAGTAAATTCAAGCTTTCCGCATATTACAACTGCGGGATAGTTCAGAAGTTGGAAGTTCATTTCCTCCCTGTGCTTCCCTGGCATGGGCTTGGCATGGGTTACTTCCTGCTCTGCAGTTCTCAGATTATATTAGCCTGCTCTTAATATGCTCTACCTGGAACTATTTTTGATAAATGTGTGGAAATTTAAATCGGGTCCAAAATGTAATAGAGAGACAGTTGACTGTGTCTCTTCACCAATGATTCATATGGTGGCTTTCATTGTTTTTCTACGTGTAATTCAAAATTCTGTTTTTAACCCTCAGTTTTATCGAACCCAAAATATATGAATGACTATAGCCACCCAGATGAGCCTGGCTGCTCATTTGACTCCACTTAAAGGCCTTTATTTAGGTTATTTCTCTATCTGAGCTGTGGCCAGAGGTGAATGAAGACAGGGCCTTCTCTTCCATGATGGTAATGTCTTTCCAACTCTGTTCAATAAGAAATTCCTCTTGATGGCTCTTAGCTGCCAAAGGAAGACCTAGGTTTTTCTGCTGAGCTTTGATTACTCCTAGCTGTTTTGGTTTAGTCCTTCTAGATTTCTTTGGTTGTTGCTGTTGCATTTGTTTCTCTCTCGCACACACACTATATTGCAATTTATTTTAAATCCCCTTAATTTCAGATGTGCTTGTATTGCAATTATTGTATACTTTTAGCAGAAGTAGGGTAATAGTGAATAATGGGTACTGGTGCTGCTTAAATGAGGCTGTCCATCCTTGTTCTTCATTCATGCCATCTGCATGTGGGGAACAGGGAAGTCAAGCACAATGCTGGCCACACCTAGAGCTTAATAAAGTTACTTTTCCAGACCACAGCTCCCAGCAACAACCCAGCAAGCATGGACACTTGGAAAATTAAGGTTCCCAAGCTCACAGCCCAAGCATGAGACTGGCCTCCTACCCTTTTGATGTAGATGCATTTGGCTCCTGAACCGAGAGAAAGGAAGAGCATAACTGAAGTTTTCTTGAAGGCTTCCACGGCTGGGATCTGATGGTTGTTGTGGGTTTTTCGGACTCTTTGGCCGTGTTCTGAAGGTTGTTCTTCCTAATGTTTTAATAATAACCAGCATCTTCAGAGGACAGGAGTCAGAACTCTGTCTATGCTCTGTTCTGACTCTTGTCCTCTGAAGATGCCGGCCACTGAGACCGGCGAAACGTTAGGAAGAACAACCTTCAGAAGACAGCCAAAGAGCCAAAGTTCTCTTGAATGCCTCCAGTGTTGGAGCACTCACCACCTTTTGAGGTCATTGGTTCCATTGTCGTACTGCTCTAACAGTTAGGACGTTTTTCCTGATATTCAACCAATATCTGGCTTCCTTTAACTTGAGCCCATTGTTGCATGTCCTGCACTCTGGGATGATCAAGAACAGATCCTGCCCCTCCTCTGTATGACAGCCTTTCAAGTATTTGAAGAGTGCTTTCATATCTCCCCTCAGTCTTCTTTTCATAAGACTAAAGATGCTGAGTTCTTTCAGTCTTTCCTCATAGGGCATGGTTTCCAGCTCATTGACAGTGGCATTTGTGTTAAGTATTCAGCAACTGATTCAATAGGTTTACTCTTGGTTGGGATTACCAATAAGATGCTGGGCCTTTACTTTATCTAAGAAAGCAATTTTAAACCAATCTACTCTTCTTGGTCTAGTGGTATTCCACATCATTGGGACTGCTCAGTCACAAAAGGGTGCTAATTGGGTCAAATACATCCCCTTGACAGCTGTATGTGAACAGATGCTCTTCTGATAAATATCATTAATAAACCATAAATTATGGTTGTTGTGGGTTTTTCAACCACTTGGCAGATATCCTTTGTTTTGTAGTCCTGCACTGAGCAGGGGGTTGGATTCAATGGCCTTGTAGGCCCTTCCATCTTCACGATTCTATGAGCTTACTGTAGGATTTTGGTCATGTAAATTTTTTATATAATATGTTAAGTTTTATGTAATATTTAATGTTAGTCTAATTGTTTTCAAACAGAAAGTATCCGGAAGCAAGCGAATGCAGACTCTACTTCTCCACGGAAATGCACTGCAATGTGATTCTTGAGAAGGCACAAGAAGTCCCACAATGCTCCTACTTCAGGAGTTGCATCAAGGGAACGGAGAGATTTTTAAAACAATTGGCCAAAAGGTTTGCATAACCTGTCTCCAAGGGCTTCTTGCCATAACAGATGGCAACATTTTCCACTTGAGATCAAGTAAACACAAGTTGTACATCAGCAGAATCTAGCCACAGCAATGCATATTTACAGAACATGATTACTCTACCCTCAGATATGAAGACTAAGAGTATGGATTTTGGCCTATATCATGTGCTAGTGCCATTACAGAAGCTCCGTTGAATCAGCTGCTGAATACTGAGTCAACATTTACATAGCTCCTGCGGATTCAGTGGATCTACTCTCAATGAAACTAACAATTGGATTTAGGTCTTTATTTGGCATAATTCCATTTCTTTATTTTTATAGCTGGAGTGGGGAGGGGAGTATTCCGTTTGTCTTGATATGAAAATGTACCTACTGAACTATTTTACCATCAACTGAAACCTTTTCTAAAGCAATTCTTTTCAATAAAGCAGTAATGATTTGATCTGCATGCATTGGTTCTTGTACAGACTAGCTGAATGTCTAATTGGCCATGTGTGTTTGCTACCAAAGATTTAGAGCCAGATTATTCTGAGTATAACTCATGGATTTGTCTGTGTGTGTTGCTTTCTTAATAAAGGAGATTGGCTTTTGAGGAAGAAGTGTTAGACAAGATCTTGCTGAGACCTAAGGGCTCTGCTCAGCAGTCAGAGGTTTGTCTGGACTTCGGACTCATCCCAGTCTCCGGCACCCCCATAAATCTCTTTGGAGATAAGGGGCTGCTAACACTGAGTTCTTTCAGTCTTTCCTCAAAGGGCATGGTTTCCCACTCATTGACAGTGGCATTTGTTGTAAGCCGCCCAGAGACCTTTGGGTAGAGTGGGCGGCATATAAATTAAATAAATAAATAAATAAATAAATTTGTGTTAAGTACTGTGTTCAGCAACTGATTCAATAGGTTTACTCTTGGTTGGGATTACCAATAAGATGCTGGGCCTTAACTTTATCTAAGAAAGCAATTTTAAACCACTGGTTTCTACTCTTCTTGGTCTAGTGGTATTCCACATCATTGGGACTGCTCAGTCACAAAAGGGTGCTAATTGGGTCAAATACATCCCCTTGACAGCTGTATGTGAACAGATGCTCTTCTGATAAATATCATTAATAAACCATAAATTATGGTTGTTGTGGGTTTTTCAACCACTTGGCAGATATCCTTTGTTTTGTAGTCCTGCACTGAGCAGGGGGTTGGATTCAATGGCCTTGTAGGCCCTTCCATCTTCACGATTCTATGAGCTTACTGTAGGATTTTGGTCATGTAAATTTTTTATATAATATGTGCCTTGTAGGCCCTTCCATCTTCACGATTCGATGAGCTTACTGTAGGATGTTGGTCATGTAAATTTTTTATGTAATAAGTTTTATGTAATATTTAATGTTAGTCTAATTGTTTTCAAACAGAAAGTATCCGGAAGCAAGCGAATGCAGACTCTACTTCTCCACGGAAATGCACTGCAATGTGATTCTTGAGAAGGCACAAGAAGTCCCACAATGCTCCTACTTCAGGAGTTGCATCAAGGGAACGGAGAGATTTTTAAAACAATTGGCCAAAAGGTTTGCATAACCTGTCTCCAAGGGCTTCTTGCCATAACAGATGGCAACATTTTCCACTTGAGATCAAGTAAACACAAGTTGTACATCAGCAGAATCTAGCCACAGCAATGCATATTTACAGAACATGATTACTCTACCCTCAGATATGAAGACTAAGAGTATGGATTTTGGCCTATATCATGTGCTAGTGCCATTACAGAAGCTCCGTTGAATCAGCTGCTGAATACTGAGTCAACATTTACATAGCTCCTGCGGATTCAGTGGATCTACTCTCAATGAAACTAACAACTGGATTTAGGTCTTTATTTGCAAGGTCTGAGACTAAGCCTTAAGGAAGTCAGAGGTCAAGCAAGTCTCCTGACATCAACAGAACACAGTCTTGAATAAATGAAGGTAGAGTGCATACGCCAACTTTATACCATGTTTTAAACCTGGAATCATGTCACTGTGAAATACAAGACTCCTTCTAATTCTTTGATGGCTATTATTTCTAAATGTCTCAGTACAGCAGCTACAGCTGCAAAAAGTCAACTAGTTCTCACGAAGGAATTATTGTATTCTTTGATGGCTATTATTTCTAAATGTCTCTGCACTGCAGTACAGCAGCTACAGCTGCAAAAAATCTTCGACTAGTTATCACAAAGGAATTATTGTACCCCATGTGTCACCATGCAGATCTGCTTTTATAAAAGACAGTTATTGTTGATGAGGTGCTAGTGAGCCATGTTTATTTTCAGTGTGACATGTTTACATCCTTTTCATGTAGGTATAATTTAGTTTTTTAAAGTATCGTATGACAATGCATTCCTCTCCACCCTCTTCTGCCTTCCACTTACTTGATTCCTCCCTTCTCTCTCATGCAGAGAAGACCAGGGCATAGAGCAGCTAATGTTAAACTTTTAACTCCTATGGACTAGACCTTGGAAACATTATGCACCAATGCATTAACATGAAATCACTATGATGTTCTTTTTGTTGATCTTAAAATGTAAAGAAATTTTAAATGTTAGTTCATTTAAATTTCAAAATATTGCTTAGTTGCCATAACGAGTTAGCACAACCAGAAATAGTGTCGTTCACCATTTTGAAGATTTACATAATGGATTATAAATTTATTGATTAAAAACATCAACCAATGACAGTAACAAATTAATTGTTAGCAAATGATTTCCAAGCTCTGCCATTAACTAAATCTTATTTGTGCTGAACTTTGGTTTCTTTGGGTCCAAAGTTCTTAACTGTCCGTGAAAGTCTACCTTTACCTAGATTTTTAGTGGATGAAGAGGTGATATTTTTACAGTCACCCTATAAGTTAAAACAAAATGTAAGTTGTCGGTGTACCTTTTTTCTGATTCTTGAGGGGTATCAGTGTTTCTGAAGACAGACAGTAAAAGCTGGGAGCAACTATCTCGATTCTAATCAACAGTTCCAACATTTCTTCAGAGATATAACCCAAATCCATGTTCCCAGAAGGATCTAGCCCATGATGATTAAAGTGGGAGAGAGATTTGATTTAGGATTGCATGTTAAGGTGAGGCAAAACTGTTTTACAACCAAGCCAATACAACAGTTAACCCACGCCGACCTCTTTTCTACATCTTTGCTATGCACATGGGGACAAGCTGAACGGCCAGTGTCTCCCCTACTTAAGATACAAGCAGTTACAGGTTCAGTACAAGGAAGTGTGTCAAGATTAGCTGTTAAGAGGATGCTCTACCGGTGGACAATGTGTGCCTCTCCCTGAAAACCAAAATGTTCTGATGAACAAAATACATTTGAAAGCAAGGGGAAAAAAAACAACTTTGAAGATGATTTTTCAGTTTGCCACCAAATTTCACTACAAATTAAAATAATCATTTTCTATTTATTCCCAAGGGCCCTGGGTTTGCCTCTGAAATTCAGCAGCACAATTTTCTGCTAACTTTCAGTAGTTCATCAACAGCCCACAGTTGGAGGGGGGGACACAAACCTGGTCTCTGTTTCAGCCAAAGTTGCTCAAGCCTCCTTTACAGACCAGTGGTCTTGACTTCAGCGGGCGGCATGCGGACTTCACCTAAGCCAATGCTACAGAGGATAGGGACCTGTTTGTATCTAATGACTTTCTTAAAATTTGTCATGAAGTTTTGTATTTTTTAAAATGGTGTTTGAGTATTTGACTTGCAAATAAATGATTTTTCTGTTAAGCAGCTTCTTAGTTTTTAATAAAATAAGGATTTTCCCATCCATTCCAGAAGCAGCCACTAAGTACCAAAATGGAATGAATTCTTGGGGATGTTTTAAGAACCTATGCACGAATACAAAACGAAGACATTCACCATGCAGACAGTTAGTGATAACAAAGAACTCTTTACTTTCTCAACTGTGATTTTATTCAAAAAGTTTATTTAGATAGCAAGGTGGATTTACAAAAAAAGAGAGAGAATGTTTTGATCTCAAACAAAGTCAGTAAGTTGCAACTACATAAAGAAAAATAATAGCAACATTGGCACTTCAACATAGTTTTGTAAACTAAATATTCAAATTATAAATGAATTTCCAGACATATGCAATTTGCTCATGATATATACATACACACATATTCCTCTCTGCATGGATATAATATATTTTTAAAATGTTATTCTTTATAAGAACACAATCATAAAGGCTTTGGTAGCAAAAAATTGTCTTAAATGAGTCTTCCAAGGTCACATCCTTAACTTTTACCATCTGAATTAAGCATGTCAATAGGGATATGAAGAAGTGTCCATGCTTGTATTTCAATTAATGAAATCAACCCAGTCTTCTTTCAGGACACAGTTTGACCCAGTTTAGCAGTAAAGCAAAGGCAGGTTGCAAAGATGCAGTTGTAAGGGAAGACGACCGCTCAAAGGAGTAAACCTTCAAGTCCAAGAACTACAATGCCTCCTGTTCTTGCTCATTGCTGGGTTGGAGACTGGCTTTCTGGACTTCGAGTTCTTCTGCGCTGACCATGGAAGGATCAATTGCAGCATATCTGGTACCATGGAACTGAAGCAAGTGTATCTACAAGAGAGATTGGTCAGAAAGAAATACACACTCATCCTTCTTCATAGATTCTGTACGAGATTCAGACTCACATATTTCTCTGTAGAAACAAAGACTATGCTGGCTGCTGTTTCTCGCATGCTACAAGGGATATTGCAGTACACGAGACATGCGAGTAATTCTAGAAAGAAGCAGAACCCTTTCACTGAGTCTAGAACTGTGTTGGCTTACGTGATCGTGTAAATACAACTGTGCAAACAATGTGAACTTTCCCTGCCCCCCAGTTGCTCCTCAAGCATCAGAGCTACGCTGGTTGCACAACTGATCATACATGTTAGTTGCTTGCCAAGGACCTCAAAAATTACAAGTGCTTCCATCAATGCCCTTCCATATGTCAACTGGATTTTGACAGGCATCTCTGACAATACAGTACGGTCCCCTTATCCACAGAATCAGTATCCACTGATCCACTTATCCACTGTTTGAAATTATTAAAGATATTAAAAGAAAAATCCCCCTTGGATGGGGGGGGTCCTACTGTAAAATGAAATTGTCAGGAAGATCAGCTCAATCAAGTCACATCATGTGTGCCTGTTACTTTTTTGGGCTACAGTATCACCATGGGAGAGTGAGGTCCATAGAGGTAACCTTCCTAAAGCTCTGATTTAGACGTACCCAAACAGACTACCAGTAACTGAAAATGAAGGTCATTCAAAGGTACCATGACTTTTACTGGACAGCCCATTAATTCATCAGTTTGAAGAGACACCCATTTTCGTAAGACCCGTTGAACTCTCTCTCTCTCTTCCAGCCCAGCCACAGAAATCCTTCCTGCTCAGTCTTTTCTCCCTTTCAGGACAACATGATAACCTCCATCATTGGTTCATCTATCCCCGTGTTCTCAATGATGACTACCATTAACCTCCCAGGTTTTCAGGCAGGATTCTGTTTGCACCTAAAATATGTCCCTTCCCCACCACCTTAGCCGGTGCAAGAAAATGCAAGGATGGGAAACACGGTAGAGAAAGGAGGGAAGTCAAAGTGTGGACTCACTTGGATATAGAGATTGACTTCAGCACTTCTGCAGAGATAAGGAAAGTTGCCCCCTGTTTTGAGATGAGCTCTCCTGGCATTAGGATACAGTTTATACATCTCTTCTTTTGCTTCAGTGGAAAGAGCGCTCTGGTCAAACACCTAGGAAACAGACAACCAGTCCAGGTCAAAATCAATCTTCTGCATTCTCATGTCAGAACCTTTTCGTTACAGAAGCTGGCTGCAGAGTTTATGTCTAATGCTGAGAAAGTGCCCCTGTGCCAAGCATAGCTAGGGCTTTCTTCTTTACAGATCCCAACCACTTTCCTCCAAAGGGAGGACTACCAGATCAACAAGCCTAGAGACATCCATGGTGGCAGGGCAATTAGTGCAAGCATTAAGTGGCATGGAAATGACAGACTGTCACTTGTAACCACAGGAAATGGCGGAGTTAGTGGCGTGGAGTTGTACTCTAGGGCAGTGCTTCCCAACTTTAGGTATCCAGATGTTCTTGGACTGCAACTCCCAGAAGTCCTTGCCAGGACAGCTAGTGGTGAAAGCTTCTGCGAGTTTTAGTCCTAGAACATCTAGGGACTCGAGGTTGAGGACCACTGTTCTACAGGATTAGGGAATTATGTTTTTTCCACCTACAGTATATTTGAAAAACATCTGGCAGGAGAGCTTGTGCTGATACTGGACTGCAACATGTGTTATGATAAGCTACTCCATCATGGCGGGGGTCACTCAAGGTTGACCATGACTGTTCTGCCTGGTATCCCTTCTCGCCTCCCACCAGCAACAACTACCTGCAGCACTGGCCACAAGAGACAACCATTTCTCTGGGGTGTCTATCTAGCCTAGGAAGAGAGTCCCCCTTCTCATGTCCATTGGCCAAGATCACAGCCAACTGTGTAGCAAGGGCCACCACTGGAGCTGACATGGCTTCTCCCACACATGACGTGGTGTTTGCTTTAGGCAAAGGCAAATGGAATGGCCAAATGAAAATCTCTCCATTGTCCGCTAGAAGAGTGGTGCCTCCTTTTGCGTTTCCAGCCACGTCTGTTCCCTGGTGTATCACAGAGGAACAGCAAACAGCCAACAGATAAGACAGAGCAACTGAAAAAGGGGGGAAACTGGGAAGGAAGCAGTGGGAGTGAAGGAGACAAAAGGGAGATGCACTTGATCCTTTCTCTTCTCACAAATGATAGACATGGGAATTTTGGCTAAGGTCTGAAAGAGGAGACCTCTTTCTTTACCTACTGTTGTTACTGCCACTTGTCCCTTTTTCCATGCTTTTCTCTTTCTCCACACCCCCTTACACACAAATTCAAACACCATGGCAGAAATAACCCGTTGGTGCCTGTGAACTGATTTGCTGGATGGGGAAAACAATAGAGTCTGTTTTGTCCTCACTTAATTCTCTCTTCCTATCCCAAACATTTCTCTCCAGCATTTTTACACCTCTTCTACGGTTCACTTCGTAATCTCTACGAGTCTGCCACCAATCCTCACACAGCAAAGTGTGTGTCTTCTCTCTACAGCACCTGCTGCAAGCAGCTCATTCATTTTGTTCAGGCACAGCTCCTCGTAACATTAGTTGTGGCAAAAGTGGAGGAAGGCGGAATTCCACCTTGCTGCTTCCTTCCTCTGCCCCATCACCTCCCCACTGTCTCACAGGAGGGTCAAACAGGCTGGAATATTCAAGGCAGCCCTCTCCCCCCATGGAAGCAAGGCCAGGCATGCATAGGTCAACAAGCACCCTGCATGTGCCCTTTTCCACCTCCTGTTTCACTGGAAAAAGAAAAGGTGAGGAAGAAGGATTCTGAAATCTCTTTCTACTTGAACACCTTACAGTTTTGGATGAGTGAAAGTACGTGTGTTTTTACTCAAAAATAAAAGAATAAGGCTAACTGACTCACAAGGAAGGGCAGCAGTAAAGTCAACATAGAAAACTTTATGCCAAATCAATCACGGTAATCTTTACGTCACCAAATAATAATAAAACTTTGTTATTTTTCCTGCAACAGACAAAAATCTTGCTGTTGTAAGACACAACTAGAGAAGGCCAACTGAATCAGTGGGAATTTGGTGAGTCTACTCCATACATTCCACTGATTAAGTGGGCCTACTCCAGTTATGATTTACTATGTCAAACAACAAGAGTTCGGCCTAAGGTGTCTAACTTCCCATCACCCCAATGAGACGTTAGTCACCCAGAACTTGGAAAAGCTGAAATGCAATTTATAGGGTTACCCCAGCTGGCATGGTGACAGCATGGTATTCTGAAACTGTGCCCCACTCTTGAAGACAATGCAAGTTCTACCTCTACCTAGAGAGAGGTCACCTCAAAGTACAACCCTTCACAGAACACAGCAGGGAGCCTACGAGGAGCTCTGCCCCTCAGGTTGCCCTTCTGGAACTACCTCTGCAGAAACTGGTCTTTGATGGCTGGTTCTGGCTGATGGATCTCAACTTGCTGGCAAAGTTGCTGGGACAAGCCAAGATGGCCCACCTTTGCTTCATTCTCTCTTTATCACTCCTAACACATCTTCTCTCAAATGTGCAAAACTGGTATTATTTTTTCCCAACCCACATCACTGAAATGCCGATCAAGAAGATTACTTACATCCATGATAGTGACTGGAATGTCTCGAATTTTATGAGGCTCCACATAGGAATTCTGGCAGTTGAGGGTCAGTCTTGAGGCAAGCTCACTTTGGCCCAGGCTTTCCAGCTTTCAGAAATTTAAAAGGAACAAAAATAGCAGAAGATTTTGAATTTGGTCTAAGATGGGGTAATGAAGAAATTCCCAAAGCAGCAATAGGTCTATTAGATCCATTTTAAAATAAGCTGAGAAGTCTCCCAGAATGGCTCGTTTTGGAATAAAAACAAGGCCATCCCTATCTGCAGGTTCACAATCTAAAGCAGCGGTCCCCAACCTTTTTGGGGCCATGGACCGGCTGGTGGGAGTGAGCTCCATGCACGGGGGCGGGGGCACGTCACACTCATGTGATGAGCATGTCGCACTCGCGGGGGAGCATGTCATGCGTGCAGGGGCCAGAGATCCGTATCCGCGGCCCAGTTCCGGCAAGCCAGTACGGGGCCGCGGACCGGGGGTTTACAGCCCCGATCTAAAAGACATGACATGGAAGGAAAGATAGATGAGGAGGTAAGAGGAAATTATCTAAGATTCGGTGTGTTTTCAGCAGGCAAACTTTAGAAATCAAATTATAGCACAGCACATTGGAAAGTGCGAACTCCTTACCCGATCAACCATGAAATCAATTCCATCAGCCATTTCAGAGTCTACTGGGCCAGATGCGAAGTTCCCAAGAACTATTTTTTTCAGCATAAAAGCAGGCAGTAACCAAAAACTGGGAAAAAAGAAATATAATGGTGACTTTGGATTTTTTTTTTCCTCCTGACTCTAGGAGGGGCACTAAAACAGTCACAACAAACACTACATACAATGGTCTGTTTGTGCTGGATATTTGCACACACACTGCAAGCTCAGTGTTGAAAGCATATACTAGTTAAACCTCTTCCATTAAGATCACATGAGGTTTTATTCTATTAACACAATGTTGCCCAACGTTTTTCGAGTCACAAACCCCTTTTGTAATTACCAAGTAGCCTGCAAATTCTCTGCCACATTTGCTTAAAACAGGCATTGCTAGGGAAAAAGAAAGCACATTAAAGATAAATTTTTCAGAATACTGTATAATTTCAACCAAATATTTAATGTGAACATTGTACTTGCATCCGGGCAATCAACCTTAAAATTCACAGCTGAGTATTTGTTAAAGCCACTTGCTCTGCCCTGTTAGACTCTTAAAAGGCTCCTGGAGGTGGAGGTAATGAGTGTGGGTTAAACTGTTTTTTACTGGGGGAGGACAAGTTTTCCCTCAGGAAGGAAACCATCACCCTTCCCATCCTCACTTCAGGTAGTGACTCCATCACCTCCTCTGCCCCAGCTGTCCTCTCTAAGATGGCGCCAGCAGCAGCCTCTTCCTCCTCCACCACCATTTCTCCTCTCCTCCTCTAGCTGGCCGCTGCCTCCTCATTTTTCAAACCCAGCTGTGGCTGGCCTGGCTTCCAAGGGCTGCCGATGGGTCCCACCTCCTGTTCCTCCTGATCCCGGTTCCAGCCATCCAGCGACCAGAGCCAAGGAGGAGCCACCGCTGGAGAAGGAGAGCATTCGGGAGGGGTGTCCCTGGGGCCCAGAAGCCCCCACAGCAGGGAGCTTGTCTTGGTCGGATAAAAGTAAGGGAGGAGGCGAGCCAAGGGTGACGTGTCCCCTTCCTCCGAAAGCCACAGTGACACCCCAGAAAACACTTTACAACCTCCTTGGAGGTTGCAACCCACAGACTGGGAACCCGTGTATTAAAATGAAAGGCACTATAACATACACGGGTTCTGAAAGCTGGTTTTGAGCAGCCATTTTTTTCCAGGTAAAAAACAAAACACAGCCTCACAAGCACAAGATCTATTTGTCAATAACTTGCCCAAAACGAAGTCTGAAAAGATTAGACAACAAATAATATTTAAGGCCCCCTAATGTTCTCTCTCTCTTTCTCTCTCTCTTTAAAGTCAATCTCTTGTTCTCACCTGTTTGCTGTCCAGGTCTGGTTGAAGATGGAGGTGTCACTGAAAGCATTGCATAGAACCAGGGACTGCACTCTGGGAGATTTATGAGTATACTCTGCAAATTTCTGAGCAAGGAAGCCCCCCAGAGAAGCACCAAAGAGGTGAACCTAGATTTAAAATGCAAAGATGTCTTAGAAGCACATTGCTGATATTTACTATTGTCTGATTAGTTTTAAAACAGCATTTTAGTTTTCGGATCGCATGAGAACTGGGCCAATATTATCCCCCATATTGGAGCTGTAAGACTGAGTGTGGCTTGCCCATATCTAGCTAGTGCAGCTTTGTCCAAGCTAGTTCCTTCCAGATGTGTTCTACTACAATGCTCATCATCCCCAGACAGTAAACAGCTTCAAGGAAAGCTATTCTAGGAAGAAGTCAAGAAAGAAGTGGGATTCAAATTATGGCCTTCCTGATTCTTACTTAGCCACTACAGTAGTGCCTTAACTTATGAATGTCTTGATTGGAGTTACAACCAGCTCCAGCCACAAAATTTTGCTTTGACTTGCGACTGGAGCTTTGAGATATAACCAGAAAAAAGGCGGGAATTTAAACTGCTAACCGTTGGTCGGTGAAAAGGCTGCTTCTCTGTAGCTCTTTCGCCCCAGTGGTTAGAGAGTGTGCGTTCGGAGGAGGCTTTGGCCTGCCTGGTACTGCCTTCTGCTCAGAAATGCCTGTTCTGAGTGAGTACAGGGGTTTGCAGTATGGGTTTGAGCTGGAGGGGGGTTATGTTTCTGTGCTGTGATGGGTCTTGCAGTGTTTTTTGTTTGTTTGTTTGTTTTTTTGTTTTTTTGTTTGGTGTGGGTTTTTTTCCCGGCTGGAACGGATTAATCGTGTTTCCAATGGGTATTGCAGTGTTGGGGCGGTATATAAGCAGCACACTTTGCTTTTTTTGTTTTTCGGGGGGGGGGGTTCCGGCCAGAACGGATTAATTATGTTTCAATGTATTCCTATGGGAAATGGTGCTTTGAGTTACAACCATCTTCCGGAACCAATTAAGTTCGTAACTCAAGGCACCACTATATGTTCTACCAGCTTATAATAGTTTAAAAGAAGTAAATATCTCAAATGAATTAATAAACATGACTTCCTCCATTATCACCTAATGTGCCTCAGTTATGGTCAAAATTCATTTATCCCACAGAAGTAAGTTCTTTTTCTTCCAATTTTGATGAAGAACAATATATAATCAAATACAAATGTTTGAAAATGTACAGTGTAATGTAATTTGCAATGTAATTTTTTTAATTATACTGCACATTTCTGATGAAGACTAACATAAGATTGTATAAATAAACTCAAAACATACATACTCTTTAGCCTATAATTTATGCAAGCCATAGTTCACCAGCTGGTTTAGAGAAGGACAGTTGTCAAAGATCTGCTACAATTAAGAACAGGAAAAAACTAGCAAAAACTAGAGTAAGTTGTTTATTTAAAGTGGTCCTGAAAATAGCCACAAAATCAATCTGAAAGAGTTTTTCCCATTGTTGGAGCAATTAAGGTCATTCTTAATAAACTCTAGGCTTTTTACCTAACATTTTTATTGTAATCACAGGCTATTTGTCAATCTCAGGGCACTAACTTTATCCAGTTGTAGATGATCTAACAGTTTTCTGAATCCATCGCAGAACTCAAAGATCTCCCAGTAAACTGGATACTGCAGCTAAAGTAATTGAAAAGATGGGTTAACAGTGAAACAGAACGGTATGAACATAAAAGCACAATCTTAATCCCTTGTACCTCCTGGCATCTGAAACAACAATAATCAGAAGCAGAAACACACCGGCATGCTCCACGAGGAAAGCACATGTTGTGCTGAGTTTGCCACCAGCTACAATCTAAGCCCTCCTGAAATCCTATTATTCTCTAAATAAAAACTTTAATACAACTTCTGGATGGGTCTGCACCTTAAAAATTTAGCAGGCTATACCTATACCCTAACCCTATACCCACTGGCCCTTAATACGCTAAAAGGCAGCAGAATGTTTAGGCATGGTGCAAAATCTATTCTCATTCAAAAAGAGCAACACTGCTGACAACACATTCTGGAGGGCAATTTCAAACCATGAATTTGCATACATTTAAAGTGTTCTGCATTTTCAGAAATACATTCATGTTCTTATTCCCAGGAACCATTGTCATGACAACCCAAAGTAAGTGGTTTGAAGCCCTGGACCCCAAAGGCATGTTCAATGTAGGTTTTCTGAATGTTAATCAAGCTTCATTAGCCTCCCACATATAAAATCTATACCTGTGGAATAGTCCCTGGTCTCCCTTCGATAAAGACAGATAAATCAGGCAAGATCTGTATGATCTAAGGCTTTGAGCCTTGGCTTTTACAACAACCTTCACACTTTGTATCTTTATAAAGGTTGTGATTATTCATAACCATAGTCTGCATTGCCAAGAAGGATTAGACAGTGTGACATAAGACATCCCACTGTAAAAAACATGATTTACCATTGAAAAGAGCACCAAGGTTAAATGCAGTTAGAATACTCCTGGCATCAAATTTCAAAGCTATGTAAGAGATAAGCACATTTCTAGGTCCAGCAGACACACTGAAGAGTTATGTGCCCATACTCCCTCCACAGGGACAAAATCAGAAACCCTGAGCTTGTTTCATGTGACTTTCGAAAACAAAGCAAAAAACTTTATCTTTGTATTTGGTTAAATACTGAGTTTCAGAATGGTGATGAAGATACTTACAGCAATGACTCTGTAACCCCAACCAGACAAGGCTAAAATCTGCTGAAAGAACACATCTGCAGTTCCGCTGACAGGTGGAAGAAATATAAGAGGGCATCTGATATTTCGAGGTCCTGCATCGTAGAGCGACCAAACTTTACTGTCATCATCATCTACTATAATCTGCAAGATGAATTCAGAAAATTAAGATGAGTATTATTTAGCAATAGCCACCTCTGAGGCACACTGTAACCGCTATGATCAACATTCCATGTCTGTAAAGATTTTCTTGAGCCCAGTCTACCCTGCATTTTTGAAAGCATTTTCTGCTAAAATATGGAAGGGGCTGTGGGGTCTGGGCAAGAAAAAGCACTGGTTTGCCTGAAATAGCTCTCTGGATGAAAGACTATATTCTATTACCAACAAGACTGCTGTATTCTATTACCAACTGCTCCAAGTTGCTCTGAATGAGATACATCTGTACTTAAAATGCTGCACTTCTACAATGAAAACCATGCTTAATAGCATAGCAAGTAATTGTTTGTTAATTTCCAATTCCTCTTTCTCTCTCCAAAAACCCATGGTATCTAACAATAAAATAAAAAACCCTTAAAAACCAAATTAATCAACATATAAAAATCCATAAGAAATTAGCATCATATTGTAACCCATGGTATCTAACAATAAAATAAAAAAACCCTTAAAAACCAGATTAATCAACATATAAAGCCGCCCAGAGACCTTCGGGTAGTGTGGGCGGCATATAAGTTTAAATAAATAAATAAATAAATAAAATCCATAAGAAATTAGCATCATATTGTATCTTTATGTATTATTCACTTATTTCATTTTAAAAAATCCAAGCTGTAATATATCTAGAAATCTTAGAGTGAGGTATAGATAAGAAACTAATTTCAATAAATTAACAGAAATCCAGAGCTTGACAAGTCAAAACAAAGCTTGTAGTCACTCAGGTACTCGGACAAAGAACCAAATTTTACATTCTTGCTGAAATGAGTCCAGTTGCACCACCAGCTGGCCCCTAAAGGAAAGAGCTTTTCAAATTCAGGAGTCAGAACAGAGAAAGGCCTCTCCAATTGGACTTAGCAATTAGACACTCTCTAGCCTCCCAATGTATGTGTCAAAAGCCTGCTGGAACAAAAAGGCATTTCCATGTGGGGAAAAATACACATTGGGGAAGAGATCAGCCTAGCATTCCTTGGGAGATACAGTAGTTTCACAGTGAGAGAAATTAAACATCCCCTGAAAATAAGTGTGTGGGGGTTTTTTTGGGGGGGGGGAGCAAAAATTAATATAAGACCCTGTCTTATTTTTGGGGAAACACGGTAGTTGAAACCCCTTGAAGTTGAGTCATAGCAACTGACTTCTTTCTTGTTAGGTTGAAATGTTTCAGTACTCATCCAACTAAGCTTCTTCAGTCTGAGGAGAGTTGGTAGGAGATCCCTGATATATTCTCCACTTTGGTTTCCCTCACCCTCCAGTCCTTTGTCCTTCTAACAAGCCTATTCAGAGGAGAGGAAAGTGAAACCAACTGGAGGAGATATCAGGGATCTCCTATTACCTCTCCTCGGACTGAAGAAGAGCTACTTAGATGAATAGCGAAATGTTTCAACCTAACAAGAAAGAAGTCCAGTTGCCACGACTCACCTTCAAGATAACCACACCTGGATGACTGAGAATCTTCAGAGATATGTTGAAACCCCTATTTGCATATCTGCTTACCCAATAAATAAGCAATGTGGGTAATATTTAGAGATGGGGGTATTCGTATTTGTATACAAATATCCCTGCACAGGTGGAAATAACAAGGATCTGGCCCCATGGGGCTGGACTGTCCACTCACGATTTCGCCGCTGCCACCAGCTGCACAGATGCTTCCTATTGTGCCATTCTCCACAATGGATTAGCCACTCTCCAACCTAGCAGAGAGACTTATCGTCTTGTCTCCTGTCAGGACTGGGTAATTGACTGCAGACAATGGCACAATGGGAAGGTCCGACGAACTCGCATCAGTGGCGAAATCGTGAGTAGATAGTCCAGCCCCATCTCTAGCAATATTCAACCACAACCACATCAAATACTAGTTCAGGACCAGAACAGATTGACCGTCCCGACTTACAACCATTTCGAGTTACAACCAGCTCCGGCCACAAAATTTTGCTTTGACTTGTGACTGGAGCTTCGAGTTACAACCAGAAAAAAGGCAGGAGAAAAGGCGCAGAATTCAAATTGCTAACCGTTGGTGGCAAAGAAGCTGCTTCTTTGTAGCTCTTTCACCCCAGTGGTTAGAGAGTGTGCGATTGGAGGAGGCTTCAGACTGCCTGATAAGGTGCTGCTTTCTACTTTTTGTACTCTGGGTGGGTTTCACATTGGTGGCAAAGACGTAGCTCTTTTGCCCCAGTGGTTAGAGAGTGTTCGATTGGAGGAGGCTTCAGACTGCCTGATAAGGTGCTGCTTTCTACTTTTTTGTACTCTGGGTGGGTTTTGCAGTGTGGGTTTGGGCTGGGTGGTGGAGTTATGTTTCTATGCTGTGATGGGTCTTGCAGGATTTGGTTTTTTGGGGGGAGTTTTTCCGCCATTTCCGATGAGTCTAACAGGGTTTGTTTGCTTTTTTTGTATTTCCGATGGGTCTTGCAGTGTCTGCTTGCTTTTAGGGTTTTTCTTTTTGCATTTACAATGGGTCTTGCAGTGTTTGTTTGCTTTTTGGTGGTTTTTTTTTCATTTCCGATGGGTTTTGCAGGGTTTGTTTGCTTTCCAGGGTTTTTTTTTCCTTCGGCCGGAATGGATCAATCGTGTTTCCAGCGNTTTTTTTCCTTCGGCCAGAATGGATCAATCGCGTTTCCAGCGGGTCTTGTGGGATCTGTTTTCTTTTCGGTTCCCCCCCCACCTTTGGCCAGATTAATCGCATCATTAATCACATTTCTGATGGGTCTTGCAGCCGGGTGTGCGGTTTTTTGGTGATTTTTTTCCCTTTGGCCAGAATGGATTAATCGCATTTCAATGCATTCCTACAGGAAATGGTGTTTCGAGCTACGACCATCATTCCAGAACCAATTAAGTTCGTAAGTCGAGGCACCACTGTATTGGATTTAAACAGAAAGGGAAGATAAAGTTGGGCATACTCATAATACTCAGGCCCTGAGACTCCAAACAATCTCTCCTAGCAGTTTATCTGTACACTAAGTAGTGAGCCAATGGCCAGGGTTGTCAAACGGAAGTTCCCCAACACTACCTTCTGCACCGTTTCTTACAGAAGGGACTGAAGCCAAAGTAAAACAGTGCTTAAAGATGTCAAAGGTAACCAAGTTCCAATTTTGTTAAAGGGTTTTAGGTGGGAGGCTGGTTTTAAAGGAACAACTTTGCTCTTAGAGGCTTCCAGGACCTGAAATTCTGGTTTCTCTGCTACATTTTGGCTAATTTTCAGTTTGAAATTCTGGTTTCTCTGCTACATTTTGGCCAATTCTCAATTTTTTCAGCCAGGCAGAGGTTCAGGTATCTGACAGCCACAAAAGCAAAATTAGGGCAAAATGATTCACCATATTTTACACATTCCAGATGGTGGCACATCCTGGAAATCTAAAATACTCCTATTCTCAGACAAGGCAATCTCAATGGAGGCTTTCACAAATTGTTGTTATGTGCCATCAAATCAAAACCAATACAGCAATCCCAATAGGGTTTTAAAGGCAAGTGATATTCTTAAGGAGTGGTTTTACCAGTTCTACTTCCCCAGTGAGTTTCCATGACTGAACGGGGATTCGAACCCTGTTCTCCAGAGTCCTAGTCTGTTACTCTGCTACTCACTTTAAAACACTGGGAATCAGACTGTAGTTAACAATAAACACTCTCATACAAGCAGCAATGTTTCACTGATATTTTAAAAACTCATTTTATGTGAAAATGTTAAGATATGCCTACTCACAAAGGCGGCTAATGATGTCCTGTACCCATCCTACAACACAATGTAGTTTTTAAACATAAACTGAGAATGTAGTTTTTGATGTATATGCAGCCTTACAACATACTGTGAAATATATTGTGAAATATAATCAGTTGCTTTTCCATCTGAATGTATCTCTATAAATAAAGCAACACAGCTTGTGAATACAATATGTTATCCATGAACAGCATGCCCAGTTCCTTGTATCTTAAAAGCTCCTGTCTTCCAAAGCAAGAGGTTACAAAATAATTATCTCTTGTAATACTCACTGCAGTTTGGGCTTCAATGTAATATTCTTCCCCTTCTCTCTGCCACAACGTGCTATGAGATCCCTCCAGCCAACTGTTGTCTCAGAGCTAACCATGCTGGCTGAAATTCCGTTGCTTACCATAAGAAAAAGCTCGTAATGCTTCCTACTCTGCAAAGAAAGCGCTCCTGGGTTAAAGTGCCCGCACACACCTCCAGGAATCTTAGCAATGACTCTCTTTGCCAGCTAGGAACAGACTGAGTGTTATGATTATGCTTATGCTAAGCAACGGGATTTCAGCCACTGTTTTTCTAAAATGGCCACAGGTCCCCTGAAAGTTCACATGGCAAGTACAAATGTCACTTATTCTTACTTTCTGAAAACAAGGATGGAAATCAAACCATGTGTGCACCAAGATGTTTTTCTTTTCAGTAACAGAGCGAATTTAAGGAAGACAAAAGCAAAATCTCAAGCACACAGAAATCAGATCTCATCTGCTTCTTCAATGTCTCCACATCGAAGCATGAGACTGAAAGCCCATGGTAGAGGAGTTTTCAAGATTCAGAGAAGAGAAACAGGAGGGCAACTTCCGTTTCTATATCCTGAAAGTTGAGTAAGCAAACTATGAACACCCTATTCTTCCGATAAAATCATTCAGGTAAGAAAATAATTTGTTAACAAATGGGTGCTCTTATGGAGGCCAGATAACCAAACACTTGCACAAAAGATGGCCAGCACAATTAGGCACATGTCTACTCAGAAACACATCCACGTGAGCTCAGTAAAATACAGACCCAACTAAAAGTATACAGGATTTGAGAAGAGGTGGGCACAGACGGGAAAACTGGTGGTTCGTAATGGTTTGTGGCTATCCCATTTGGCCAAAAGAAAACAAAGCACCGAGGGGGGAGGGAGTTCAATACTTTGTTTCAGCAAAACAGGATTCCTGAACCAAACCATGAATCAGCCCAGTTC